AGAATCTACATACAAAGTACATATATAGATCTGGAAAAAATATAAATTGTGTTTTTTTCAGTAGATTTTGAATTGATTACGCTTATATTTTTAAATATGCAGAAACTTATTTTTTTATTAAATAAATGCAAGAACAGGCTGTGGCAAACAGACCATCATTATTGTTTGAATTTTTCAATTAATTTAAAATCTATAGAAATATTTAAAAACACTAACATCTAGTAAATAAAAATTTAAAGCGATTTTTACGTCTTTTTCCTTCAATGTTAACACACAGTCGATCACTTGTCCGCCTAATTTCACAAACTTTTCCCCAAAGCGTTTTGCTTTATTTGTCCCTTTTGTGTACATAATTGCTTTGGAAAGACATTACAGTTTGTAACAAAAGGGAAAGAAAGTTTACCTTTTTGTTATAACACTTTTTCGGTTTCAATAAAGCCTCGCTGATATTGTATCAAAGACTGAAGGTTTATTATATACAATGCCTTCAACTAACTCAAATTTTACAAAGGAGATGAAATTACAACTAATAAATAAAGGGCGTTGAAATAATAATTTATTGTTTTCAGACAACAATGTACCTTCATTTGAAGCTTAAATACATAACAATCACCCTAAAGAATAAGATATAAGGTTATTAATTTTAGGTAAACATAAAAACTAATTTTCACTTACCCACTATTCTGACGTTGGCAGGACTGCTTACAATAACTTGTCTGCTCAAACGATGCATTGTTCTACACCGATATGTTGGAAATTGGTCACTGAATTCTAAATTGTGTATTAAAAGCTCCCCCGATGGTAGTTGATGAAATTTCCCATCTGGAAGCATAATTATAAGAAAATAAAATACCCACATAAAAATAAATTTGATCCACTTGCTCTCACGATATTCAACAGATTTTTATAGCCTTCGCAAGGCCTGCCATGCATGATAATAAGTTTCAGCTTCGCTTTCGTTTGATACCACCAATGCTTATTCTTGACGTTTTTGTATCTCAGAAATCGTGGAGAAAACAGCCAACATTTATAACATCCGAGGACTGAAATATTTCCAAGTAAATTTCCAATCCAACTCTTGTGGACAGGAAAAAACTTTTTTATTTATTTATGCATTATGATGACAGATTTTTTTTAATATCCACATTTTTAAGAGCAAATATTTTTATTGCAATATCTGGAAAATATTCATTAAACGAGTAAATTTTTATGATAGTTTTAATTAAAAAAACTGATCAAACTAAATTGAAGAAATAGTTCGTTTAGCTTGTTGAAGCTAAAATTCCTTATTTTTCCTTTTAGTGTTTTGCTCAGGCTTCTTAATAATTTTGTCAAAAGGAGAAAATGTAAAAAATAATTGTTAATTTATCAGACTATAAAAATAAAAACCAACAGTTTTTCCAAYTAATTACAAAATTACAGAGAAACAATGTCTGTATACTTTTAGATTATTTATTAAAAAATACTGAAAAAAGTTATAATTATTATAATATTATTATTAAAATATCTGAAAAATATTCAATAAACGAGTAAATTTTCATGATTTTCATGATATTAAATTAAGCCTTTTGAAGCTCTTTCGCAAAATATTTTTTTCCTTTGTTTTTTGTGTTTTTTCATGCTTCTTTATGAGTTATGACATAAGCACGTTC